TTTTCATCACTTTTTTCTGACAACTTTATTTATTCTTTCTTCTTCTTTGTTATTTTTTTAAATGGGGTTTTTGACTACTCTAACATTCCCCCGTCTGAAGAGGTAACCCTAAAATCTTTTAAGGATTAGATAAAAGCTCCCAAATACTTTCGACATTTTTAGCCTTTGAAATGGAGTAGGTTGCTAACAGACCCAAGGACATTATTAGTTTTAGCCAAGAAACTGACTGCTTTTCTTTGGGGTCTTTTTACCCTAACTGCATAGCCTGTTCCTACCTCCTTTTCTTATCACACCATCCTCTGAAGAGGTTGCCTAGCTTGCAGATAAGGAATCAGGGTACACACTGCTCTGGCTTCTTCCATGCTGAACAGGGATGCACGGTGAGGCAATTGGGGAACCCCTTCAGTGGGTCTATCTAAAAGACTCCCAAATTGCATAACTTATCTGTAGAGGGAAAAGAAAGTCTTTGACTGGTGAATAGAAGATGTGAGGGAAAATTAAAGGCAAGAGTAATTGGAATTACAAGTTTAGACAGGGAACTAGAAAACAGTCAGAACAAGACAATTTTCAAATGTTCATATGAGAGTCCATTGGAATTTCTTGACAAGGGCTTCCAAAAGCATCCCTCTGTCTGGTTCCTCCTCATTTTTCTTTTGTCTTCCAAGGGTGGACTGGAGACTAATGGATTCAGGATTTGCTTTCAGGTATTTTGATAGCTGTTGGAGAGGTTAGAACCAGTGTCAGTTCCCTCTCAAAGGCTTCTAGATAGGGGGAGAAAACAAATTTATCCATCATTTTAGAACAATAGCAGGTTGTCTCCCTTAGCTACAGGTGGGCACTACAGTATTGCAGACCAAGATTTGAAGTCTTACATCTGAGCAGCACTTTCTGATTAGGAACAAAATCATCAATGAGAAATTGTCTGAATAACTCTTTTTTTTTTCTTTTCGTCTTTTTGAGACAGGGTCTCCCTGTAGCCCGAGCTGTCCTGGAACTCAATATGTAGACCAGGCTGGCCTTGAACTCAAAGAGACTAAATAACTTTTTATATGAACTCAAGCCTAATGTCTGGGAAGTGTAATCCTTTGAACTCTTAAAGAAATATGCTGATGACTTTACTCTTTGGTTATGCTTTCCTTTTGGCTGTTTAAGACCATACAGTTGACCCAAATAAATCTATTTTTACACTTAAGGTCGATTGAGGATCTGTTCCTCAGGAGTCACATGGGCTTGGGAGGAGCCCCTGGCTCCTTTTACCAATTCCATCTTTGTGAAGATAAGTCAAAGGTAATACTCGACCATGGCTAGCTTCACTTGAAAGCATGGAGGAAATGTTTCCTATGAGTTGACCCTCTTCTTGTAGACTGGACACTAGTTCAAGTCCATCTAGTGGGGTCTCAATGGCCTCCCTGAACAAGAGGACAAGATGACTCATCACAATTACAGGATAATTTGAAAGATGTTCCATATTCCCCTGGAACTTAGTCAACCTTGGAAGGCAAGGGACAAAAACTGTCCTTTAAGTCCCTCCAACCAGATTAGAATAGGCCTCAAAGTATGGCTGTTAAACATCCAAGAAGGTTAGTTCCAACAGTCTGGTACTTTTAATTACCATGTGCTATGTAGATAAAGCTTGGGTAAAAAACCAAATATTCTCAGATAAACCTTGACTAGATATGTATTTTGTTCCTTAAACTAGTTGACTAAACTCTGACCATAGACATTTTAAGATTATGTGTATATTATTTTTGTTTCATCCTAAACCTAAACAAGTCTTCATCACTTGCTTAGGCTTTCTCATTTTTTTCTATTTTGGAAAATATCTCCATTCCCATATCCTTTTGACATCTTTTATATTCTCTTTTTCTTTTTTTTTTTTTTAATAATTGTGAGGCATTAACAAATAAATTCTTTGTTTCTATTTGTTGTGGGACTTCTTTTCCTGGATAAATTTTCCATCTGTTGAGGGACTTCTTTTCCTGCAGATGCTAAGCAATGCTTATTCTCTTTTAAGGTCCTAGTGTCAAGGCAATGTTTGATTAAAGTTTTACTGGTAAATCAATGAATTTATTGAGCTTACTTACCAAGATAACTAAGGGGTTGCTGAGGTGTATGTATGACCTGAGGGTATGCACACTGGAAAGCCTTTACCCAGCGTGGGTCATGCTTTCTCTTCCTAGCCTTCCCCAGAGTGTATACTTTAGCCCTCCCCAAATCCAGGAGACCATGTGTAATTAGGACCAAATTACATATAGTTGGCTGGAAAGAGTGGCTGGATAATCCGATGAGGTTCCAATGATCCTGCTTGGCCCTCCTTTAATGAATGAGCACAACCATCAACAAACCCAATTGTGACGATGTTTAGCTATTAGTCTCAGCTGAAGTCATGATGATGGTAGTTATTTCATGCAGAAGAGACTGCTGTATAGCATTGTTTTATTAAAAGGACATGGAATTTAAAAGGATTAGGTGCTAGGAGCCACATATGAGGGAGAACATAAGTCATTTGTTTTTCTGAGTCTGTGTTACTTCACTCAGTATAACAGCTTCTAGATCCATCCATTTACCTGCAAATTTCATTATTTCATCTTTCTTTACTGCTGAATAGAACTCCATTGTGTAAATATACCACACTCTTGTTAACTACTCATCAGTTGAGGGGCACTTAGGTTGCTTCCGTCTCTTAGCTATTGTGAAAAGAGCAGCAACAAACATTGTTGTACAAGTGTCTCTACAATAGGATGAGTCCTTTGGGTATATGCCAAGGAGTGGTATAACCGGGTCATATGGTAGGTTCATTTTTAGTTTTTTGTTTTTGTTTTTTAGAAGAAGCATTTCATTACAGCTTTAACATACTCAGTAACAGTTTCCAGAGCAAAGATACATCTCTTTCAAAAGTGGCTATAAAATTTTTTAGGTTCACTGTGGAATGAATACGGTTACATAATATTGAACTCGGTATAAACCCTGTAAGACATAAGATTGAATTAGTTTTTAACCTTTAAAAAAGATCTCCATTTCATTTTAAAATGTACTGTTTCTTACAGAAAGACTCTTTGTTTTTGCTAATAACACTGAGATGTTGGCTCATGCATCTCTGTTTTTTAATTTGTTGATTTGTTTGTGTGTGTATATCACACAGAACATCCCAAAGCATCTTATTCAACTATACACCCACTTCCCAGGTGGCACCCTCCCATAGCCTCCCTCCCCCCACTAGAGCCCTTATACTCTGTCATCCTTGCTATTGTCTGCTGTGTTGTCGGCACCCGCAGCCATTCCCCACTACTTGTCCATCCGGTGAATCTAATCAGCCTATCTAGAGGTCTTTGTTTTAGGAGGGTCTGCTGTTCATTTTCCCAGTTCTATGCTGGGTTACTATCTGGGAATCCTTTTGGCCACCCTGGCCAACAACTCAAAAAAGGGTATCCTATCTGGCATTGTTACTTGTTATGTAGCCTT